TAAATGTACATTTAGAGTAGCATTTAGAGCTAAATGCGCTAAATGTGCTTTTACGCGTAAGCAAAAACAGCCTATAACGCAGCTAGCCACAGGGTTGCTTTTAGCATTTAGATTCCTAATGCAAAAATGAAGTTGCATTTAGGTGACGAATTTTGTATGGATAAATGTACATTTAGAGTAGCATTTAGACCTAATGCGGTATAGGTGCTATTACGCTATTACGCGTAAGCAAAAACAGCTAATAAAAAAAACATGAAACGCGAAAAAGATTAGATTTTAAACTAGGCGTTCCACCGCTGCTATATAATAAGCTCTTAGAAGCAGAGTTATGGCCAGCTGGCGTAAGAGTACGTCCATTTCGCTTTATTCAAAGAGCCAAAGAATCTGATTCTATCAATTGAAAATAAGGCACACTGCACATGGAGCGTATCATCATAGACACGTATTAGATGCTGCATACGAACGTTGAACGCTTTGATGCCGAATACATGTGTTTAAATAAGAAAGCGCACACAAGCCGTCAGCTGCACGATTTCGACAATGCATGCAAGCTGCAAATCGACTAGCGTACAGCAGTGCTGTTCGCTTGGTGTATGAGGCTTATGTTGCACGGTGAATTTATTTATTTATTATTTCTGGTTTGAAAATGGCAGATGCAACACAATTTGTGCAATTAGTGGAAAATTTTCCATGTTTCTATAACAACAGTTTACCTGAATACTAAGATGTTACCGAAAGAGCGTGGGCATCAATTGCTGCAGAAATGAATTGGTCAGGTTAGTAGTTTCATATATGTATTTAAGTAGATTATTTTCTCAACATTATTATTAAAGAATATATATATATGTATAAATATAGTGAATATTATTATTTACTTGCAGCGGCCTAGTGTAAAGAAAAGTGGAAGAACTTGCGGAACGTTTTTGTTAGAAGTCTCAAATCGTTCCCCAGTGGCTCTTCTGTTAAAGCGAAGAAGTCTTATTATTTGCACGATGTTATGGGGTTTGTGCTCCCATATGTAAGGCCGATTCAGCATATTGAAAATACGTGTAATAATACGTTGCCGGACTCGGAAGTTGGGTATTCTGAAGAAATGGAATTAACAGCAAATGCCGAAGATAACTATTTCGAAGTCGAAGCTTGTAATCAACCTCAAAATGCTCCATCTAGTGTAAAGAGAAGAAAGAAGTGTTCTCAAGACAAAGACGAGGTTGATTTGGCTGTAATGGAGTACCTTCAACAAAAAAAAAAGAAAGTAGCACTAAGCAAGATTCCAGTAAATCTTTCTTCTGAGTTTACTTCCAGACGTCAGAAAACAACTTAAGGTGGTTTAAGATTCGATCTATGCTACTACTAGAGGAGATTCTAAATGAACAAAGCCGGGAATCTGCCAGTCAACAAGTGTTTGCGCAAATATCATCATATTGTCAAAACATCCAAGTGAATACTCTAGCTCCTTCGCCCGATGATGATGCGCCACGTTGGAAATCGAAGTGTTTTTTACACAGAATAATGATCCTGTATTTAGTTTTTTTTTTTTCGTTTTGATCGTTAATATTTGGAAATTAATTGCTGAAAAAAGTACTTTATTTGTCGGGTCCAAATCGACTTTAAAGACATAACTAGTCAGTAAGAAAACGCTGGAAGCGATATAAGTTCATTTAGTATAGATTACACTAGTCTCCAATAAATCCGATCTGTGGCATTTGACCATCATTCCTCATGTAGAATTTTACTTAAGTTCTATTAACTTCTACACTTGTTATTCAAAAGTATTTTGAAAATTATTAAAATTTACGCTACATAACCGATAAATTAATGAATAACTCCTGAACTATGTACTACATATCCTGGTTGGAAAATGTTGACATAGACGAGACAAATCAATAAGCTTCTCTAATGTAAGAGATTTTAGATTGGCCAAGTATACCCAAAAAACTGCTATTGATTAGTTTAATCAGATCCAAAAAACTGATCTCGAACTCGAACTGATCACTCGAAAACTGTTACACTTTTTTATATTTTAACTTAACATTCGGATTCAGCAGAAAATTCCACATGAGGAATGCTGGTCAAATACCACAGATCGGATTTTTTTTGTAAACGTGTTATTACTTTTTGGTTTGTAAGCAAACGCTTGTGTAACTTATGCTATACTAGTGGTATTCATCTAAGGGCCGGTTGTTCAATGTCCGATTAGCACAAATCGGAGGTAGAAGCTCCGGTTAAATACAACGACTGCTTCATCGATCACATGTTATATGCATGATGTCGAAATCGTCGATAATGATGTTTAACCGGCAAGTAGTGATAACCAGTCATTGAACAATCGGCCCTAAACCGATAACTTTATCAAGCAGATAATCTTATAAGTTTATGCACTCTGTTACATGAACGACCCACACTCTCTTTTCGTTTACACATTCGACAATAGTCGTGTTTTCTTTGGTTATAAAGCGCAGTGTCACTAACTTTATACTTCTAGCACGGGGATAAAGAAATTATAGAAACTACCTCACTAAATTGGAAAAAATTATATTTACGAGATATCTATTTAAATAAATGTACATATAACATAAAGGCTATTTATTTGAAGCAAGTTATAAGAAACAATGGCAGAATATCTGTTTGTGTATGAATTCATTTGTCACGGCTACCAAACTTTGCGAATTATCAGTGAAACAAAACAAACAGACGGGATAATAATTGAACCAGATCTCTATCAGGATCATATCGTTGTTGAATTTGCGTGCAAAATTTGTATGCGGATCCCGATTATTGCCTAAGAAAACATAGCTAGAGTTGCGACAGAGTTGCATTGTCTTCAGTTTATCAAGTTTATTCAGTAAAATCGCTGGATAAATTTATCAGAAATGTGTAAACGAGTTTCCATAAAAATTTTGACAGTTCATTTATAAGGTTTACACAATTATAAGTTTATACGGTTTACAATGCATTTATAAGGTTTGATGAATACCCTTACTATTTTTTTACCTTGTTAGCAAGTCTTTTTTTAAATAAAAACCAACGCTCATATTTTTTGTATTCATTTAATTGAAATAGTAGGAGATGGTGTACACAATTCTTACATATACATGTATGGGTCCACAAAATAATAGGAGTGCGATATTTTCACCACTTTTGGCTGTTTGTCTTTTGTTTATTATTACAACTGTATGTACGTTAAAAGGTTGGAGGGTGTCAAGGACTTGCGGAACTACATATGCATCTATAATTGAGGCGTTGGGCTGGAAAATTAGACCATTCTTAACTCAAAAATGTGCTAATAAATTAATCTAAAAGCAAGACGCAAAAGCATCAAAAGCAACACGCGGGCAATCCTGTAATAAGCAATATAAGCACGTTAAAATTATGTTAAAAGAAGTACTTGGTGAAGCTCGGGTAACAATATTCACTTACCTCAAGCATCTCGTTAATTTTCGAGACAATCGCATCTCGTTTAACGGCATTTCTGTTCTTTGTAACTAGGGTTGCCAGATTCTGAAACAGAGAAAATAGTACATTTCTATTTTCGATAGAAAAAAAGCAGTACAGAACTTAAAAAAGGAGTACAATTTTTGTTTTTATTTTTTTGTGCAATTTATTGTTACAAATTACTATTATTTAGGTACAAACAAACACGGATATCATAGATTTTTTTTTCAAAGCAACAATAAATGTTAAAAATAAATAACTAAATCCTACAAAAGAATTCCAGGCTATTCCTGAATGTATGGCAATTTTCTTATTTTATAATTTTTCTGATTTTTATACCCGAGCGCCCTGCACACTTAACTTTACTTACTAAGTAGTGTTTTCCACAATATGAATGGAAAAGTACAGGGCGTAAAATAATAACTGTCGCAAAGGTTTTTCGAAAAATAAAAGAGTCCTTTAAAGATTTTGCGAAAAAAATTATTTTTTGCTAACTTTATAAATAGTTTACTCTAATTTTATTATACCATGTCCCCACTAGAGCTAACCACGTAGTTATGGCTGTTGAGTTGGTTATCCCGATAACCCATTTGATTTAGCATAGTTTCGCCATATAAAAATGACAGCACTTTACCATTTCACTGAGATGGTTAAAAGCTAACCAACTCGAAACCACGTCGAAAGTCTGATACAACCCGCCATCTTTGGGTCATTAGCGATAAAATGTAAAAACTATGTTCCCTACTAGTGTTTGGACTTCACTAAGATCAGATCTGATTTACTCCGATTTATGAAAAAAATTTCAAATCTACTCCTCAGTCCGCTTGGCTTCAAATCTATTCCATTTTTCTCATTCATGTTATGCCCATCTTAGGGCCGTTTTTTAAGTGTTCACAACCGGTTTCAGTAAAAAAAATGAAAGTTAGCCAAATTTTACTGTTAGAAAGTATTCTTTCATACCAATGCGTCAATGAAGTAACCTCTATATTTTTTTTGATGTATGGCTGTAGAAATTGGCGGATGCAGAACTTTACTTAAGTTGTTAAAAAATATATCGTCGATGTTTTTGCAAAACCGCCCATCGACCAGTTGCAAAACCGCCTAAATCGCCATTGTGGCAAAATGAGATTTGGTAACCCTGAACTCCAAGCATCGAGATTTATGCATAAAAATCGTTAGATCGTTATTAAAACAACAGATTTGTAAAATAATAGCTAGAGAAAATACCGCCTATCATTGCAATGCCTTCAAAGAATAAACGGTTTTTTCGCTCTCCTGTAAAATTTGAGCGCCGTAAGATAGGCGGTTTTGCAATTGGGCGATGGGCGGTTTTGCAAAAACTTCGACGATATGTAGAATGGAATTTATATAAAGTAGAAGGGGTTTAGCTCCTATTGCTCTTTAAAAAATTAAGTGTTAGAAATGTTCTTCCTTATAGAAAATGCTAAAAATTACCTAAATATGTAACATATTATCCTTATACCATGTCCCCACCGGGGCTAACCACGTAGTTATGGCTGTTGAGTTGGTTATCCCGATAACCCACTTGAATTAGTGTGGTTTCGCCATATAAAAATGACAGCACTTAACCATTTCATTGAGATGGTTACAAGATAACCAACTCAAAACCACGTTGAAAATCTGATACAACCCTGTGTTTTTCCCGCCATCTGTGAGTTGTTATCGTTAAAATTCAAAAAATACGTTCACTACAGCTGATTTAAAATTTCAAAATGTCACATTCAAATGCATATTCAAATTATAAACAATGGCGACAGAAAGCAAAGAAAACGTATTTTGTGGAGCGATGCCGCAGAAGAACTCCTGATTGAGTTATGGCGAGAAAAAATGCCAGAGCTGCGGTCGGTAAGGAAGAATGGCCACATTTATGAAGAAATGGCAGTCGAGCTGGATAATAGTGGCCATAATATCACTGCCACTGAAGTGAAGACAAAGCTTCACAATTTATCAAAAAAAACAGGTAAGTACTGAATTTATATCAGCATAGATATTCATTTATTATCTCCATAGACAAGAAAAGGCGAAAATTGGTCCATCCGGTGGCTCTCCATCAGAGTGGAAGCATTATGGGGCAGTCCACGAAGTTCTCGGTGCACATAAGAGCTTTGATGCAGTTGCGCTGCAAGAGGATAGCATAATAGGTGTACTTTTATTAGTCATACCTATTACGGAAATAATCTGATTTGCACTGTCGTAACAAGCGAGAGTGAAGGATTAGATTCGTGCGAATGGCATACGTCGGACCGGAATAGGCTTAAATAATTTTTTGTGCGAATTATATATTTTCAGATGATTTGGACTACACCATTACTGAAGAATATCTTATTGAATGTGACACTGATGGAGAGTCACAAACTGGTACTCCAGTTCTCAATTCTCAGTGCTCCCTTGTAGAATCCTGTAACGGGCCCTCCACCAGTGAATCTGTAAAAAGAAAGAAAAAAACTGCAGTAGCAGTGATGGAGGAAGTTCATCATGACTTTTTAAAAGTAACAGAGGAAATGCGTCAGGCGGACGAAAAACGATTTGTGTTGTTGGAACGATATGTCAGCGATGTCTCAGAAATGAAAAATGCATTTGTTGAATTTCTGCGTCGTCAGAATTAATAAAATACGTACCAAAATATGAAACGAATGCTTGTCTTATTTCCTGTGCTCTCGAATTAAAATTTCCATAATTGTTGGGAGTACTTTCTGGCCGATGTCGACTTTGTTCTTCAGTTTGCTGTGCGGAAATCCATCTTTCATTGACTTCATCATTTTCCTCATTAAGGAAATTGTGCAAAATACAGATGCCTTTATAATTGATGTGGTGTTTACCATCTGGTTGTCCAAACCTTTTCCAACCCGTCTGAACCTGGCCTTTAAATGGCCAAAAGCATTCTCTACAACTCTTCGACATTTTGACAGGGCAAAATTGATTTTTTTTTGTTGCAATGATTGGTCAATGTTAAATGGAAACGGCTTCATTAAATGCTCATCTAACTTAAAAGCAGAGTCACCTAGTAACACGACTGGAAAGTTGACCCCGGATATTTGCTTGCTCATATCTTTGTACAAACTGCATTGTAGAAACTCGTTTTTTAAATGGGAGCTCTCAAAAATTGCTGAATCATTGCAACGGCCTGGGCTGCCGACATTAATATATATAAAACGACATCTACAGAATAAAATAAATTTTCCTATAACCAGAACAAAAGTACTTCACATAAAAACGTACCTTGCATCTACTAGAGCCAAAAGTACGGTTGAGTACCAGCCTTTGTAATTGTGGTAGTCAATTGCATCCTCTCTTGCTGGATGAAC